TCAATGTATAAGGGCATGATGGTATCACTAGATGAAATAACGGCTTTTGAATCGTCACATTTAGCAACCATTATCTAAAGGCAAAGAAAATGTAACCCCTGTAGATTCGTGCTAGTCAATTTAGAGATAATAGGGGTCGAAAACGACTTTTCGACAAAATATTATTTAAAGTGAGTAATCTTAACCAAGTTTTAGAATATGTCTCAAGGGTTTCGTACATATAAAGTGCGCCGAAATCCGAGTTATAACGAAGAAGTTATGACTCGTCGAAGTTTTACGGCAAAACCGACATGGCACCGGGAGACGTAAATAGTAAATTTACGATGGAATGGCTTTTAGCCTTAGTGATCTAAACCAAATTTGTAGTATATGTTAAACCGAGAACATACAAAAAAAAAAAGAACGCTCAAATCTGGCTTCATATAAGGAAGTTATGATTTTTCTAAGATTCGGCTTAGCATTGCACGGCCCGAAACTCGAATTTTAGTTCGAGCGGTTTTTGGCTTACGCAACCTAAATGAGAGTTGAAGATCTCATAAATAGGAACTCAACGGTAAAAAGACAGACGAAAACGAAGTCCGTATGAAGGAGTTACGAATTCTTCGCAGTCATTTAACAGTCTAAACTCGTCCTACTGTTAAATTTAAGATCGGTCGATAATTAGCCAACGGAGTCTAAATGAAAGTTGTAGATCTCGTTTTTACCTACGCGTGGATATAAAGAACATCGAAAACGGAGCTTGTATTCGAAAGTTATGGGGTTTAGAAGTCGGTAGGGTGCTGCTGCAAAAGGGGTCACGTGGCTGAATATGGGCCAAGGCTTTCTCCCCAAGCAAAGCCATCAGGTGATGACACGTGGCACCGACTCAGTGAGTCATTGAACCGACTCGGCGAGTCCATCATGATTTCACCCTATAAATAGAGGTGTCGGGTTCTCTCATTTCCCACACCTCTCCCCTTCAACTTTCTCTCTCTAAACTCTCTCACTAGCCTCCCTTAAGCCCCCTAAAGTCTAGGTAAACCCCCTAGCACCCAAAGGAAGCTCCGAGGCTCCCGAATCCCCGAGAAAAGAGCCTTTCGGCTCGGGAACGCTGCTCTGGCGAAGCCCGGTTTTCGAGAAAACCCGTTGTAAGTGAGCTATGTCTACCCAATCTTTAGTATAGCTTATGTTTCAATATAGTAATGTTATTAGGAGTCTCGAAAACGATATTTTCAATAAGCGAGATAAAACCCATTGACCTGTATTGCGAGAAGAGTCTCGGAAACGATACTGTCAATAAACGAGATAAAGCTTGGTAACTATGAATTTAGTGTCTGTTGAGTAAACCTTGGAAACGATAAATTTCGTACCTATTCCTTAGGATAACCCTTAGGAATAAATAAACGAGGAATAGTTGAATTCTTAGGGTAGAATAAAAAAGATAATGGGGATGGATAATTGGGTTGATTATCTAAATGTTTAAACATAATAATTATATTATTGTGGGTTGAAAACCCTATGTACTCACCAGGTTTCTCAACCTGACCCACTCAAGCTTATTTATATCACATGTATCGATACGAAGTTACTATACACTGGGAGAATAAAGAGAAATAGATCACTAGTGTAAATGAAAGTAAGTTCTGTTTATGCTTATGTTTCTATATTGACGATGACATCTCAAATGTTTTTAAATGAATAAAAATTCATTTCTTCGGAAACGCTTTGATAACGTTTTTATTATGTTTTACTGGTAACAAATTCCACAACATTTTTATTAAAAGAAGTACTCTGATTTTTATAAAGCATAAACAAAATCGGTTTTTTTTTGCCGTGAAAATAGGAATGTCACAGAAAACGACTCTTGAATCATCCCGTTTGATTCTTTCTAACTCATCGGTTCTGCTTGGATTATGGTAAATGAATAAGGGCATGATGGTATTACTACAAGAAATAGCAACTCTTGAATCATCACATTTGGCAACCATTATCTATTTATCATCGACCACGACAATGATGGTGGACCTACTAAATTGACAAGGTTAATTTATTCAACTTCTCATCCATGTTTTCCAAACTCTAAACCATCTCATTTTCCTAGTTCATTTATGTCATAATTATGTTTTCTATATCCTTCTTTTGCCAACATCTTGTGTAACCGCTTATCACAAGCATAAGAAACACGGGAACCACCACGACCACCATAAATGCCATAAAATGGTTTTCTCATCAACGAACTATTTTTATATTCTTATTACTCTATTTCTCTCCTCCGCCCAACCACAGAAGAATGGCAAGGAATGTCATCATTGTATTGTTTCTCGATATTCTCAAACCGACTCTTGTTGGATAAAGAGTCATTTCAACCTATCAAACCCTCCAACCACCGGAGTTTCATTATCCTCTTACAAGCAACTACAACATTTGATTTACTAAAATAACCAGCAAATTATCTGTAATTTCTCAATGACAACCTTAAATACACCGAGTGATCCATATTATTGATCGTCATGTTCAAAATAATTTACTAACTAACATATAGTTGCTTTGAATTAATGTTCAAAATGAGCAACATATGTATTACCAAAGGTAGAGGTGTTTAAAATGAGCAACATATGCATTACCAAAGGTGGAGGTGTGAGACACTATAGCGACACAAAAACGATGTATTATTTATGATTTTGGTGGTTAAGTATGGTAAAAAAAAAAAATAATAAATAAATAAATAAAAACAACACTACCACCATAGAGGAAGTACACATATGGTTCGCAGATTTTGTGTATCACGGTAAGTGTAAAACAACACCTTAAACCTCTCTCTAGTCTTATAAACTATATTCCTCTCAGAGTATCTCGTAGAACTTAATCAAATCACTCGTCATCACCTACCATTATAGTTGTTGATAATTCTATTCTACTAGCTCTCATGGAGGACAGTTACGTGAAGATAAAAACTAAGGTAGGAACAATGGAGACAGTCAAAACAATGGTTTTGGTGGTTTCTTACAACCAACACAAGCCCCAAGACAAAACAAAATTGTCATATGGGCAGTACCCCTTTGCCAACTACTCCATCATATGGGCCCTCTAATCCACGACATAAGTGCCAAGTCGATCGGTAGAAAGCCTTTTTCTAGTCAAATCAATTGCCTATTGGGCCTCAACGATGCACCCACAATGCCACAACAATATACCTCAGCAACCTACTTGATGTCCTAGTAACAATGCCATAATGGACCTCAGCAGCAGAAAAATGCCACAAAAAACAGTTGGTCTATCCCTTCTCCCGTGAATGCTCCACAACAAACCTAACCCTCTGTCACAACTACTATATTTGGGAGAAAACGTTGTTGACTAGCTTATAGAGATCATCAAGGTTTTGGGTACACCAACTTAAGAAGAAATCATGTGTATAAATCCAAACTTTAACAAATTTGTTGTAACACTTGAATTTGGTAAGTTTCATATTTAACCTCTTTATCTAAAAAGTTTGCAAAGTTGGTCCTTAAGCTAGTACTTGGGGCGTACTAGATGGTACGCTTAGCGTAATAGCCTGATTTTGATCGCGCATTCAGTCCACGTATGTTGGGCGTACATAAAGTACGTATGGTGTACGTGTGGATTATGAAACCCTAATTTCTAAGGTATTGCATCCTATTTAAGCTTTATGATAGCCTCATTTGGTCATGTTTAGACAACCTCCACCTCCCTAGTCCAGAAATCGAAACCCTAGTGTGTTCTTGAGAGTTTTGAGCCATAAAGAGTGTTTGTTGGTGCTTTGTGAAGGAGAAGAATAAGTGGACCCCTTGGAGTTTTGCTTGGAGCTTGAGCATCCGGGATTAGCTCATCAGTTGCTAGCCTTTTGAGGTAAAATGGCTTAAATACACATCTAACTGTGACTTTAAGGCCACTTAAGAATCTTAAAAATTCACCCAAGATATGTTGATTACATTTTGATTACTGCGAGAGGCCTAATTAAATGTAATTCCACAAAATTCTTGTAAAAAAACAATTTTATTTCTTGCTTTTACTCATAACAACAAATTACATTTCTTAACCAACAATTACAATTTACTTTACTTCTTTGCATATAATAACAATGTACTTACATCTTAATTGATAATAGCAATGCATTTTGATAACTAACTGAGAAAAAAAAATTCTTAAGGATATATAAAGGAAAACTTACAACACCAACTGTGAACATACTACTAAATGGAAGTAGGTTAGTATAAAACAAATAATGAGTTAGTAAGATTGAAAATTAAAGTGGTTAGTTGCAATAGAAATAAAATATAAAATATGATGCAATTATCATTAACCACAAAAAGAACCATTCAATGGGACCGAGTTCAAGTACAATGCTATTACAGGAGAAGAGTTTAAATATAGTTTAATTAGAAGAAATCTTATTTTTGTAATTATCTTAAACATTGGACTAAGGACACAAAGGGGGGATATAATAAATATCAACATACTTCCAATGCTATTACAGAAGAAGAGTTTAAATATAGTTTCATTTCTCTTTACTATAACATCATATTTTGATAAATATACTTATTTATACTTTCAACGGTAAGCCTAATATCAAATCAGATTTAGAAATAAAAAAGATGGAAATGAATTCCTTGGGATCAAAATTGAGTAATTCCTTGGAATTTTGGAAGAGGTGAGTTAAAAAATGATTATATGACAAAATTCATATAATAAAATTTCATAATAACTAATAGCATAGGTTTGTAGCTGAAGAAACATAAATAGTAATCCTAATCCTAACTCTACACCACAGACAAACGTCAATCCCAAACTCATATTGATTTAAAAGCATACATATACATTCCAAATTAAATGAAAAACGTAATGAAATACAATGATTTAAAATTACCTGGTATAAGATTGGAGAATAGAAGTTATGAACCTATTATGCATAACACCTTTGATTTCTACACATCAAATAAACCCTAACACCAAACTTCAACCACGATCCACATCAGTTACTAATTTCAAGATATCAACAACTTTGGCAATACTTCTGAGATTAAATAAGTACATGTGAATACTTGTAGAAGAATTAAGCATAAGATATACAAACTAGTGAACAGTGGCCACCTTCCACATACATAAAACATATCTGACAGCTAAATTTTGAAAAACAGTTATCTCTAACAAATCTTCAAAGTAGAGATAGATATACTATATGGGCAAAAACCTAGTTCACTGTAATGCCAATCAATAATTACAAAATCATGTTTACAAAAACAGCACACACACAAAGGAAAGGAGGGAGGGCAATTTTGGTATTGTGTAAAAAAAAAAAATTAAGAGGCTGCTTCTGTTAGATGCAATGCAAAATGAGAAACTGCAGACTGTAAATGGCATGAAAGAATGTCATCAGGGATTGGTGAATCAAATATGGTACTGAAACACTCCAATTTATCCTCAATGCTTGACCCTTCCCCTGGATCCCCTACAAGCAAATCACTTATCTCCTCTGCCATCTTTGCATACACCATTCTGCATTTTTTTTTTTAATTATAAAAAACAATTTACATATTGTTATTTACAAAATCCAAAAAAACAAAATGTTTTTTTTTAAGTACCTAGCATCAAGAGGCAAACGGCTGTCCCAAACTGCCAAGGACTCTTTCAACCGATTAAAGAACTCTTTACACTCGTCGTTTTTCTTCTTTAAAGAAACCTGCTAAACTAGAAAAGTTAATAGAATGAAAAATATAAATTATAAGAAATAGATTAGTTAACATACCATTTCAGTCATTGCATCATCATCTTCCTCCAAACTAATTCTAAGGGTATAAAATGTCATGTAAATTCCAGCCCCAACATCCCAATTCTCAATTTCTGATTTATGTTCTTCCATTGAAGTCGCAATCCTCCATATCTCCGAGTGTTTCCCTAAATTGTAAAGAATGTTAACTAAACAAATCACTTCAAATTTATCCAAAAAAAAAAATTAATGTCACAAAACAGATTACCTGACAAAAACAGAGAATGTGCAACCACACTCATGAAGGTCGAATGTGCCTTTTGCCAAAACCCACATCCAAGATAATGTTCAAGGGCATTTAAGGAATTTCCATAGTAACCATGATATACAGCCTACACAATTCAAATACAATAAACCTCAAAAGAAGTCAAACATATTGTCTAATAGAAAAGAACTCACCAAGGCCTCATGCATCCAAGCTGATGGAATCCCTAACTCCTCAATAAACTCGCGTTGACTTTCTTGACCACTCCATGTTTCACAATACTGAAACAATATTTCTTTAATAACACAAGCTTGCAGATTCGGATAATCCTCACGATGAGACATATGGAGGACAACATAGATTGCCCAATGACAGTGTCCTAAAGACAACAACTGTGAAACAAATCCCATATCAAGAACATGAAGATCATCACAACTAAATGTCCCAACAGCTTCCAAAACACCACGTTGATGCCAGATCATATGGTGATCAAGCGGATCATGACTTGAAGCAAACGCACTAAGCATAGTCTTTAAAATACCAAACTCCCGCTCTTCACTTCCATGAAGAATCATAAGATAATACGCAAGGTCAAAACGGTCATTACCCGGGGTCCAACCGTTTTCCACCACCCCTTCGTCTATGTAAACCGGAACCGGATACGGGGCCCGCCCGTTTTCTAAAAGACGGTGATACGTTTGAAAAATGGTAACCAAATCAGAATCAGGTGGAAGCTGATACCACATTAACAACCCTAGAAATCTTTTCCAATCAATGTTCATGTCTCCTAAAGCCTCATGGATATTACCTGAAAGCAACTCTAATATCTTGATCCTGTCCTTTTCGATGAAACTGAAATCCAAACCGTTGGTTTTCCAGAGATTAAGTTGATGGTCAAGATCGGACCGGTTGACCATTGACCCGCCAGCCTGGCTTAGCAGCATCGCGAGCCTCACGTCTCCTTGTGAAGCAGAGAGCTCGACAGCTGTATCAAGTTGTCTTCCAGTTAACAACAAAAACAAATGTTGTAAATCATTTGAGTCGTTTAAGGAACTGATTTCATCTTGTACACGATGCATTACGGATTCTTGTAACCAGTAACTGAACTCTGCTCTTCGGATCAAAGGAAGTGCTTCCATGTCTGGATCTAATGAGCTTATTTCTCTTGAAGAGAAAAGAACCTTTATGAGCTCCCAAACAAGAACTTGGTGCATTAACATGACACGTTTGGAAGGGGATAATCCGGGTACTTCTAGTTGTTTCTCAATGATTGATATATAGCTTCGACATATATGAGAAAGTGAGAAACGATCACATACAAGTTTTTGAATCTTTATCTTGTAATCATCAACTACAACTTCCTTTGTTTCATGGTTGAGTTCTTTATGAAAGTTTAAAGGAGAATCGAAGCATGAATCGATAAGTTCTTCACGTACTTTGTTGTTTTCGTCTCTGACAACATTATCAGTTGCAGCTTTTTGTAGATTTATTGTGGAAGAATTGCAATGAAGAAGGAGGCCATTTGGACCCCATGCTATACCAAATGATTTACCCATGAACAATGCAGCATCAACTATGTTTCGTGAGTAGTTCTTTGTCACTGGTGTTTCCTTTATCTCCATTTTGAACCCTTGAACTTTTGTTATTGTTAAAGGAAGGGGTTTCTTTTGTTGGGTCAATAAAATTGACCCGTTTGGGGTTGACCCGAAACTACCAGGATTGTATTCAAGTAAAGCTAATGGAGTTTTTCGGATTGTTTTGGTAGAAGGATGATGTATTGGAGATCTTATGTGTTGCTTATGGTGTGAAAAACTTTCATTTAATTCTTCATGTTCATCTTCCTCATAAGGAAACATCACCATTTGCATTTCCTTCATTCTAACAGGATCAAGACCGAGGTGAGAAGGAAGAGAATGAGAGAGAAGGTGGGGATCAGAACCATCACTATCATTCATTGGAATCGGTTCTTGGACCTCGGAATCAGAATCGGCATCACCCATTGCAATATCTTCTTCTTCATCATCACTCAGACCAAATCTACTAAAATGTTGAACTGTAAATTTCCATTCTTTTTTGTTTGAATCAAAAGAGATAAACTTTGCTCCTTGTCTTTCTGCACTTACCCTCAGCTTCTCTGTTACTTGGTCTTTCATGGAGGTTATTTGTAAAAGTAGTGTTACTTCAGCAGCCTTGTTGAGTCCCTTACCAATTACAGGTTTGGTAGTTTCATCTTCATACACAACAATCTCATGTCGTTTGAATTTGATAATTTGGTCTAAATCTAACCATCTAACATCGGTTTCTCCAAAAAACTTAACTTTTCCATAACCATATCTACCAACTGTAAAGTTTTGAACCCTTTGGGAATGACCTGGGTTCATGAGTTCCCTCATGACCAATTCGGTCAAACAAGGTTCAGTAAAATAATCAGAAGCTTGAAGAGTAGGTAAGAAAGTTTGAATCTCACGTGAGATTGAACAAGGTGAAGAACCGTTATAGCCATCCAATGTTACTTTTCTTTTCTTGAATTGGGATTCAGCAACAAGAGCATCTAAATCCACACCCATTTTGAAGTATTTTTTAGTGCACACTAGTTATTCAAAAGCTCCTGATCAATGCATAAGAAAGAAGGTGTAAGAACAGAAATAAAATCAAAGAGTAACGATGACTAGCAATACAGGTCATGAACTGTAGATCTGAAACAAAAAATTGCTCCCTGAATTGTAGAAACTACCAGAGATTAGTGCATCTAGACCAGGGAAATCAAATCACTGAGTTAACCAAGAAACTTGATTATCGCCAAGTATCTTAAATCCGCCCTTGTGACAGGGAACTTAAGGTTTTACTACAGGTGTAGCTGTGGTGGCAGGATGACAATTAGGGGTTTATGGTTTGAAGACAACAGCTAGTACCATATGATAGTTTGTGGCTTGATTCCTCTGGAGTACATACCTCAAATACGTCAAATGAAACGGAGATATTTCTTTAAAAAAATAGTACGAGTACAACTACGGCATACGCCCGATCGAAACCTTCTTATAACGAAAATAAAACCCTAAATCACCAGACCAGACCAAAATGCACGAAGAAAACAAGAGACTAAGTCGAAATCAACAAGTTGGAGAAGACATACAATCATTAATTATCGGAAAACACCTGATACTTCAGTAGTTAAAGAAATAAATTCTAATGCCGATTTTCTCACAAGAAAGAAAGCAAGCCTCAAAGCTCAAAGCCACATCATAAAATGCACGAACAAAGGAACAAATTAAAGTTTGATTTGCAAAGTAGGAAAGCTCATACTGTCGATAAAAATCCAAGACTACTTGACATTTCAGCTGAACAAAAAGAGGGCAGTACCTGACCACAAAGTCGGCGAAAAATGTATGACTTCACGACGCTGGTCTTTGGAAAATCAGCTTCCGTCGATAGTAAGTCGGTACGCTGGACGGATAGATCACCGGAGATTAATCGGGGGAGAAAAGCAGAAACCCTAGACAGAAAATTAAAAAATCAGCTTCAGTGTCAGTGGGGGGAACTGGAAGAAGACATTGGTGATGAAAATTTTCATGTACGGAATTGATGGATCAGTGTCCAACTTATTTCAGGCCCAATGTTTAGTAAGCCCTTATGAGGGCTGAGAGGGCCTAAGGCTAGGACGAAATATTACCCATGAAGACGCTCGTTAAGCTTGGATATTTTAAGAACTCGATCCGATTTAGAACCGGACCGTAGGTTTCGGTTGCCGTCTCGGTTCCGATTTTTCGGTTATTTTTCTAAACAATAACCAGTTATAAATAAGGTGAAGCTAATAATGATCCAATTCATAATACATACATGTAGTTTAGTTGGCTTCCAAAAAATAAAAGACAATTAAACTTTAATATTAAAAAAATAAAAAACCGTTGCATTGATATGTTGTTTTCTGGACTTGTATCGGATTCAATATTAACCATATGATTTTTTACATTCTAAATGAAATACAAACATTAAATTACATGTTGAAAAAAAAATCAAGTATTTTCAACTTCATATGAATGAATTACAGTATTTTAAAAACCGGGACAAAATAAAAAACATGTTGAAAAAAAAATGCAATATTGATATGTTGTCTTACATGGCTTATATATGATTTAATATTTAACCAAAATATGATTTTTTTTTTTTTTACTGTCTAAATAAAATACAAACGCTAAATTACATTTTGCAAAAAAAAATCAAGTAATTTCGACTTCATATGAGTGAGTTACGGTATTTTAAAAACCGGAACAAAAAAAACAAAAAAAAAAAACATACTTAAACAGAAAAAACGCAGCATTTATATGTTGTCTTCCAGGGTTTGTATATGATTCAATATTTAACCAAAATATGATTTGTTACGATCTAAAATGAAGTACAAACACTATATTATATGTTGTGGAAAAAATCAAGTAATTTCGATATCTTATTAGTGGGTTACGGTATTTTAAAAAGCAGGACAAAATAAAAAAACATGTTGAAACATAAGAAAACGCAGTATTGATATGCTTTCTTTTGGGGTTTGTATATGATTCAATATTTAACAAAAATATGTTTTTATAGTCTAAAATAGAGTAAAAACACTAAATTACCTTCTAAAAAAATCAAGTTTCTGATTTCATATGAGTGACTTACGAAATTTTAAAAACCGGTTCCGATTTTTTAACTGGTTTTTTGTGGAACCGAACCAGTTTTAGAATCGTGACCGGTTTTGCTATAAGTAGAGAATCGCTAACAGAACCGTTTTATTAAATTTGGTTCTGATTCGGTTTAGGTCTGGTTCTGATTCTAGTAGTTCTAATGTTCTACCCTATCTTGAAGTAAGTACTTGAAATCAATTAAAGAAATGCAAATTGATAAAAGAAAAAAGTAAATAAAATTTTAAACCTTATTCTTGAATTTTAAAATTAAGGAAAATAAAATGAAAATGAAGGAGAAAAAAAAGAGAGAGAAAATAAAATTAAGATAAAACTACAAAAACGATCCATGTGGTATGTATTTTCTTCGAGTTTTGATCCAAACCCTAACATTTTTGGATTGGCATTCCTTTCGAACCTGTTTGTATATGTTTTGTCCCTTTGAAATTTGAAATTATTGTAATACACTTGTGTATTTATTTTTTACTTTTCTTTATTTTTAAAAAACTAATAATGATTTATCTATTTTAATTATTAAAAAACAGTAAATGTTTCACCTCTCTTTACACAAACTAAAAAATCTCTCTACCATGTTCATCATCTTATATCATCTCGTTTACCTTTTTACATGAAAATTAAACAAGAAAAAAAGGTCAAAGTTCCCATTTCGATACTCAGGGACTCCATCAGAATTTATTAGCCATGGATAAAATTAGAGCACTTGGATTTAATCCAGCGAATGTTGTTCCTGAAAGAAGCGTTCACCCTGCCTTCAATCATATACACTTTATAGTGGGCAATCCTCCTTTTCATCTTGCTCTCTGGATCAGTCAAGCCTCCTTAGGGTTTTGACCATGGTTGTCAAAATTGTGATTCTGATCGTACGATCCTAGATATAAACGATTCGGATCGTAAAATGATCGTATTTTGGGTAGGATCGCATGTAGGATCGTAAGATCGTAGGATCGAGATCCGATCCGATCCGATCCTACCTTCCCTTGATTTTATTTTATTTTTTTGCAAATGATTTTTTTTATCATTTTATGTCTTTTACCCTTTACCAATTTACCATTTATCATTTTGTATTGTGGCTTATGACTAATATTTTGAAGTTTTTATAACTTTTGAACGAAAAACTGAATGTTTGAAATACATTTCATGATTAAAAACTATAAATTAAAATTATATTTTATTTTGTAGGATCTTAGGATCCCGATCCCGATCTTGCAAACTCAAAAACGATCCTAGGTAGGATCCCGATCTTGACAACCTTAGTTTTGATGATTGTAACATCCCAAAAAAATCAAGTAAATTTGCCATTTTTAATCAACCAAACCATTCATTCATTTTTTCCAAAATATAATCAAATCAATAGTATTCTCAAAACATCAAAGTAAAATCACAAATAGTCAATGCGAAATGAACTATGGGGGATGCAGTGCGATTGTAACGTCCCAAAAATAATGACATAAAATCCATTTCTAAATTAATAAATTTTTAATACATATCAATATCATAGACCATGATTATCAAATCTTTAGTAAAATATCAATGAATCATAATAAATCACAGACTGCGGAAACATGTGGTGTGTGCCCCCATCCCGAGCTCTTCCATTTGGCAACCAGAGTACCTGAAACATAAACTAAAACCGTAAGTGTAACACCATGTTTATTTATTAGACAAATAAATAGATTAATAAACGAATAGAAGCCCTAAAATAAATAATTATATATCAAATGATGGTCTCGTAGAGCTAATTATCACACTCTAAGAGATTGGGGGTTAAAAGTGTAAAATCCATACTTAATTTGTAAGTTTTATGGAAGGCCGGGACTAAATGGAAATTATTGGGACTTCATTGAAGATATTTTGGAGGCCTAGGGGTTGTTTGGTAAATTAGGTATCAAATTTGAAGGGGATTTATGAAGCTGGGGTAGAAAAGGTAAAATTTGGGCTTAGTTTGAAAAGATATGGGAAGAGAGGAACTAATTGTGGCATTATGGAAAAACGTTTAATGGTGTTGGGTATATAGGGAGCAAACCCTAACCCTAACTTATTTCTCTCTGGCCTCTATGGGAAGACTCCAGCCGTCACCCTTTATGCCCCCACCAGCCACCTTTGTTCCTCCGACCACCAAGCCGTTGTTATGTTGTTGAGCCCGCTGTCGTCACTAATTGCTACCTCCTTCTTCACTTCCAACGTCAACACCATCCGCCATCTTCCATTCTCCTATTTTCCAGTGTTGCCACTGAGTCAAGATTCGATGCCGCCACTTCGTTGTGGTTGGAGATGAAGACCGGCGGAGTCGGCCACCATGCCGTTGTGGTTGTTGCCGCTTGAAGACGCGTCCATCGCCGGACGCTGTGACCTCCCTTGCTGAAAAAACGGGATGTAGAGGAGCAGTTATCACCATCTCTTTGTCTTAAATTCTTTCCGCTAGACCTGCCTCCCGACAAGCGCCCTTGCTGTAACTGCCGCCTGCCACCTTGTTGCTGCTTGTTTAGGAACCAACGGAAACTGCCGTCACCACCACCTCACGGTGGTGGCTGCCATTTCATATTCGTTGTTGCTGATGTTGGGAGCCACCGGGTGGGTAGGTGGTGTGTGAACTACCCTTCAATACGTATGTTGTGTGTGTTTGTCAATATTGGAAAGCCGAGGACCGCCACTGCCACCACCGGCCACCATAGGGTGGTTGTGTGTGTTTACTTTGTTAGTGTGTGTTTATTTTGAGATTTAGCATTGTTAAGTGTAAATTGCAATTTGGACAATAATAACAGAAATCTCAAACCACCACCGTAGGGTGGTGGTTGCCGCCACCGCCTGCCGTGTCGGGTGGCAGTGTGCTTAATTGTGTTGTGATTTGGTTGGGATGTTTGGACAAGGGACTAAAACCATAATGGGCCTTGTAAGCCCTAATGGGCCCAATGATGTCCTAATTGACATTAAAGCCCAAACATGTATCTAATGGGCTTAATGGGCCCTAATGGATCTAATGACTTAGCTAACAAGCCTATTGGGCTAAGATTTGTTGGAAACCCTAATTAGGGTTTGGAAAACCCTAATACCATGAAACCCTAATTTGGGACTTAGCATGACCGCATTGGAATAATTTAATGAACTTAAAATTTTAATTATTAATCATTGCAAATTAACCTAAAGCCATGTGGGACTTAATGGATTAATTCCTTAATGGGTTAAGTAGGAAACTTAACCCTAATCATCATTTTATGTGAAACCCTAATTTTACTTGGGTTTATTATTGGGCCTGATGAGTGGGTTATTAAATGGGTTATCCAAGATCAAGCAAATGGACTAGAATAATTAATGGGCTTTGGGGTAAGGCCCATGTAAGGGGTTTGGGCCTAATTTGGAAAATTGGGCCATAGTTGGACCTTAATGATTATATGATGTTGGGCCTTAGAATAAGAACAAGTATAAGCCTGGTCCCAATTTGGAAAATTGGGTCATATGTTGGGTTTTGATTTATAGTTAACTTTGGGCATATGGTTTCGACCTTGGGGTTGAATAAAGTCAACCTTGGGGGTAATTATCAAAGTATGTGTTTATGGTTATGTGTTGGGACCCAATTATTAATTGGGTGTTATTTTGGTGTTGACGGTTCGGAAATCTGTCATCCAGCAGTTGGGGTTGAGTCTGCGGGACTTTAGCAGTGTGAGGTTATGTATATAGGACTTCAACAGTGTGAGGTGAGTTACCTTCCAGTAGCGGTAGGTCTACCGCCATAATGTTGGCCCACCAGTGGGAGTTGTATGTAGATGATTGTCTTTGTGATATTCATCTAGGTTTGCTACTACCTGATATGTTTATGTGCTAGTATGTTATGATGTTGTGTGATAGTAGAAGTAGGGGAGATAGTCCCCAAGATTAGCGGTCTATGGGGCCGAAGGGGTAGTAATGCCCAGTTATGCTAGATAGATTATGATTATGTGATATATGTTATGTGGTAGTAGTAGAGGGGTGAAATAGTCTCTGATGCTCGGTCGAAAGGACCGAAGGGGAGGCCAACACCCAGATATGCTAGGCAATATCCAGTCGAAAGGACCGAAGGGGAGGCCAGCACCCAGATATGTTAGGTAATGTCCGATAGAAAGGACCAAAGGGGTAGGTCGGGCACCCAGATATGTCTAGCAGTATGTATGGTTTTATGTTTGTATGGTATGTGGTATGATGGGGGAACTGACTAAGCTTCGTGCTTGCGGTTTTTAGTTTTGGTTTCAGGTACTTCGTTTTCAAAGGAAAGGAGTCGGTTCGATCGCAACGAATCACACTATGGTTTCCCGCACATGATATCTTTGGGATTACACTCTGATATTGTTTACGATAACATGTTTTGATTATTTCTACTTTGATTTTGGCATGACATGATATTATGGATGTTTTCTTATACTGTTGGTTTTATAATACTTTACTAAAAATTAAACTTTTGGCCTTGAATTTTGGAATGTTACAGTAAGCACGAAGCTTAGTGAGCTCCCCAATATACCATATACCACGAATACATAAATCACATACTGGACCCTCGCCCTCCATCGGGCCTCGCTCGGTCTCAAGTCTCACTTAGCCTCGGGCATCGCCTGACATCTAGCCTCGCTCGGCATCGATCCCCGCTGGATTACAAATCTGTTATTCTCAAGTCCCGCTTGTCACTGGGCCTCGCCTTCCAGACACATACAAAATAGCATGTATTCATGCTAACACATAAAAGGATCATAAACACTAGCATAAGTTCCAGTCATCGGGCCTCGCCCGTCATCGAGCCCTGCTCGGCATTCACATATTACCATATAACCATATAATCATATGGACATATAACCATACTAGCACATGCAATAATCACAAAGACTATAGCACACCATACAATCATTGGGCCCCGCCTGACATCAGGCCTCGCCTGGTAAGCATAAAATCATATACTAATAACTAGCATACAATCTACTCATCATGTCCCGCTTGGTATCGGGTCTCGCTCAGTAAGCATACCATCATACAATACATGCAAGAGTCACGCAGACATCTAACATCCTAACATATAAATCATGGGGTGGCTTTGATTCCCTCGACCCGCTAAACCCAATGAGGAGACTCACCTCGCACTACTAAAGTCTCGCGGATAAAACTATGGTTGTTGGCTGACAAATCCCCGAACTGTCAACTTCAAAACAACAGCCAATTAATAATTGGGTTCCAATGCATAACCATAAATCCATACCTTGGGTAAAAAGACCATTTTATCCTTAACCTAGATTGGTCCAAGACCAAGACCCAAACTCAAACTCTGAAGGCCCAAAAGCCAAAATAATCAACCAAGGCCCAATTATGGCCCAATTTTCCAAATTGGGCCAAAACCCATTACATAGGCCTTACCCTAAATCCCATCCAAATATCCTAGTCCATACACTTGTTCTCAGGTGGCCCAATAATAACTCAAACACCTAAGCCCAAAGGAAAGGCTCAACTCGAAGCCCAAACAAAATTAGGTTTTCGCATAAAATAATGGATAGGGTTAAGTAAAATCACTTAACCCATTAAGTACTTAATCTATTAAGCCCATCACTCTACTAGGTCAATCATACAATATGGACAGGCATAATTTATAACTCCAATCCAATTGTCCAAAACGCGGGTCCCGGTAAGTCCCAAACAAAAGCCTCCAAGATTAGGGTTTTCTAAACCCTAATTAAAGGTTTCCAACCCAAACACATGCCATATAGGTCCAAGGTTGAGTTTTTAGATTAATTTGGGTTTCACTACGTCGGGCACCACCCACTGCCACCTTGGGCGGTAGTGGTCGACGGTGGTTCACGGTGGCAGCCACCACCTCACGGCGGCGGCGGTGGACTTCGAATTGAAATTCGTCCACAAGGTTCTAATACATCAACCAATGAAGAAAACACCCATACACATAATAGTTCACACACATAGACGCCTAACATGGCGGCAGGTGGTGGCAACATGGTGACAGTTGGGTGGCTGCCATGGTGGTTTTCCATAATTTCCGGCCAGAGAATGCACACACTTCACAATCACGGGAAAGCACTACAAAACATACCCACAACCACCCGCTTATTGGCAGCGACGACCAAAGATAATTCTGAAAGAAAAGAAGACAACCGCAAGAAGCGAAGGCGGCGACGCGAGATAGCCTTTGTGGATCAGAAACATAATGAGAAGGAAGGGGTTGCATCATGGAAACGGAGTTGCGCCTTCACCGGAGAACGACAGGCAGCCCCGATTCACGGTTCCGGCAACCCATGCTTCGGCGTCTACTTGTTGCTCTTCATCGTTGACGATAGCTTCATCGGCGGTTTGGCTTCGGTGGTTTCCGGCTTCAACAGGCAAGGAGGCGGCTGCTGAATATAAGGGGTATATGGGTGGCATCTGTTGCATGATATTAGGGTTAGGGTTAGGGTTAGGGTTTCATGCTCCTTAAAAATGGGAGGGGAAGGGTAGTGACGGGTTTAAACCCATCTCCTATATAACTTCATTCCATTTTTTACAAGGTTAGTCCCTCCACTCCAATTTTTTTGAAAATAAATCCATAAATTACCATTCAGCCCCCAGCTTCCAAAATCTTTTCAATTTAAGACCAAAAGCTAGAAAACAAATCAAAATAATTTTTCTTTAGCCACATGCTCAATTATTCTTTACACCACAAACCACGAAAGAACCCTTAAGACCTCCAAGACAATTTATAATGCCAAATACATCCTTCCTCACTAAAACCCTTTATTTAAATTTCATTTATCATAATAAAATAATACTTAAAATACATTCCCGGATTTAGGGTTTATTTTCAAAACGGGGTATTACAACGATCATGTCGGACCCTTCCCTCTGGAACTGGAAATATTTGAAAAATATTTAAACCACAAACCATAAGCATGGAGATTAGTGAGTTCCTTAAAATATCACATACCATACAACAGGCCTAGTCCAACATATCCATAGGCTCAACCCAATATGCAAATGGCCTCAGCCTGACATGTAAATGGGTCAATCCAAACGTGCATACCAATAGGCCCAGCACAACATGCATACAATAGGCCCAACGCGACATGCATACCAATAAGGGTGAACATCAAAGCCGAGTATCCAGTACCGGAACCGGAACCGCTGGTTGCATAACAGAATCCGCCTTGAGCGATTCTATATATATATATATATATATATATATATATATATATATATATATATATATATATATATATATATATTCAATTGAGGGGATGTCATATTTTGAATTACATCGATGTCCGCTTTAAAAAAAGAGTTTACATAAACACAAAATTAATGTTAATTAACTCATAAGCCAAAAAAAATTAACTTGTTATTTTGGGATGGCTACTTATCCCACATCGACAAGCTGCAACAAAGTAATATGCATTGTTG